TACACCCTACAGGTTTTGCCACTGCTCCTCTCTCCTCATACCTTAGAAAGCTCACGCACCTCCTCCGACTCCCCCAGTGCCCTTCTACCTAGCAGTACCAACTCTTTCTGAGTATCTTTTGGGGACCAAAGGGGCCCCTAGGCAGAGGGCTCAGCCCTCCTTCTATGTCCAGGGAGTCCCCTCAGGGACCACCTGGCCCTGGGAGAGACCTTCACAGGCCCAGAAGGGCCTGAGTCTGAGCATCACAGAGCCACCAGTCCCTGCAGTTTAGCTCTGGCATGCAGTGGGGGGCCATTGCCATTCTAGAGGCCTCAGTTCCACCCAGCCAAGGTGGGAGTGGGTGCAGAGGCCTGAATGCCTTGGAAAGCCACAGCATGGGAAAAGCTGCCTGGCCTGGGTGCCCTCCCCTTCCCCAAGAGGTCTTTCTTGAAGTCAGGGGTCAGTAAGGAGCTCAGTTTCACCTCCCTCCTCTCAATGCTCCTAGAGGCTCCTAAAAATTACTTTAAAGGAGAGGCTTAAAGGCTGTGGACCTCCCCCAACACCCCACAGCCCATTTAGACACTTTTGCCCAATACACACCCCCAAACAGAGAGGAGTCGCTGCATCTTTAGTCCTGGTCTCTCTGTCTTTATTTGATATGACAAAATATAGTTTCAGGAAAGACCTGGAGTCAATAAATAGTTGGACAACAGCGATGGGCAGAAGGACACAGAAAGTCGTGGCGGGGATTACTGGGCAGCCAGGAGCCTCTAGGACCGCTTGCTGGGGTCCAGTAGCAGGGAACCCCACTAGTTGAGCTAGCTATCGGCCTGAGGCTGAGGGCCTGCAAGGGCATGCAGAGAGCGCAGGCTGGAGAGGTTCCCGGGCTTTGGGGTGGGGGAGCAGGTTTGGAGAGCATAGGGCAACTGAGGGGGCCCTAGGCAGACGTTCAGTCATCTCCCCCCTTTCATATGCAAATTGTTTTAAAAATGAACATCGAGTTTAATCCCTACAAGGAAGTACCCCAAGTCTGGTGCCGGACTCCGCTGGGCACAACCATTCTCTCACCAAGCCCACAGCTGCCTGCCGTGCCCAAGCCCGAAACAAAGGAGAGGGCGAGGCCGGAGGGTCTGGGCGCGGATCCTGTTGTGCCCACAAGGCCCACCTGGACTCGGGTGCGCCAGGCTGGGGTAGGAATCCTGAGAGGCAACCCAGGCCGAGGATCCCTCAGCACCAGCCCCTCGGCCACAGCCCTCTGGGGGAGCCCCTGTGGAGCCTGTCCTGGGATCTCGGTGCTGAGCAGAACTGAGGGGAGTCCCGCGGGAACCTGGGGTCGGTGGGGATGTGGAATGCCAAGGGAAAGAGCTTTTCTCTGTGAGGCCCGGGAGCCCGTGCTCCAGCCCCCGCCCTTGCCCCAAAATATCTAGAGAGGAGAACCGAAAAGGACGGGCGCAGGGACCGAAGCGGGCTCGGGGTGCTCTTGGCGGGCCTCCCCGCTGCCTCTAGAGAGCCTCTTTGCTTTTCATTTTGGAATCTTTCTTCCACTTCATCCTGCGGTTCTGGAACCAGATCTTGATCTGTCTCTCGTTGAGACACAAGTTGTTGGCGATCTCTATGCGCCTGCGGCGAGTGAGGTAGCGGTTAAAGTGGAATTCTTTTTCCAGTTCCAGAGTCTGGTAGCGCGTGTAACTGGTTCGGGAACGCTTGCCGTCCGTCTCTGGAATATAAACCCCCCAAGCCAGGAAGGGGTGAATAGCGTGCAGCGCCCCAGCGTCCCCACTCCAGCCCCAGGCCCCCACCGCGGCCGGAGGGAGAAGAG